TTTCTTCCTTTGTCAATCACCTTCATAAATCACTGCCTTTAAAACAGTAAATGATCTTCCCCTTCTTTTAGATTCAAAATAGATTTTTCTCTGTCTTGATCTCATCTAGTTTTCCTTGTGTGTGAATACACCGTAAGCAGGCTACACACTTCTCCATGGCACAAGAGGGACAAAAGCCTGAACTGGCATCATGATCAGTCTCCAAAATAGCTTCTCCTTCATGTCCAGAGGGAGAAAACAGGCCAGAAAAACTTTCATTGCAGATCTTTACACTGTTTGTTTTTGTAGATGAATTTAAGGTAGCTTTTTAGGGGTAATTAAAGTATTAAAGTATTTAAAGTATTATTAAAGTAATTAAAGTATTTAATTACTTTATGGTCGACTGTCTTTATAGTCCTTTCTTTATGAAAAGGAAAGATGAACCATTCTTTTTTAAAAAGTATTCTTAGTTGTGCGAGGGCGTACTGAGCCCCGGAATCCGGCTAGCTAGTGAGGGGCGAAGGCCAGCACCCCTGCACATCTAAAACCAGCCCCCCTCGGCGTCTTTGGCCTTGGGCTGAGCTGGGAGGTAGCTCGGAGCGGCACGAGTGTGAGACGAATTAGGAGGCGACCACTTGCTGGAGGTAGGCTGTCGGTTTTATTACAGAGGCACCAACAAGGAGGGGAAACACCCAGCAAATGGCCCTGAACAGGGGGCCACACAGGGTTTTAAGGGAAAAAGGGGGGAAAAGGTAGGGAAACCCAGCTAGCCAATAATAATACATATTTTGAGGTCCTAAACATAATTGACATACCTAAATAACCAACTAATATTAAGCAAAGGAGGGGCTCCGGGGCGGCAGCCAACCATAACCCCCAGAGAGAAGAAGGTTCTCGAAACCTGGGAGGAGAAAAGGGGGTGATTGACTTAACCCAGGGAGGAAACGACTTTCACTTATAAGGGAAACCAGGGGAGGAGCAATTACATATCGGCAACTATGAATAGCGGTTACTATAGCAACTTAGCTGGCAGGCTAACGGTGGTGGGAAAGAAGGGGGAACGAAACCATTTTACACATAATAGGGGAGAACAATACATAAATTGGGGGAATAACACAAGAAACTTAACAACACACTACAACACTTAGTAAGAATTACTATGCTTTGTTAAAAATACCCTGCTGCATGTTGAAGAGAATAAAACAAAATGCAAGGCAAAATGCTCTTCATAAGAGTTTGGAATGATACTTAAAATAAAGCAATGGAGAGGAGGAGACCACTTTCACTTTTGTATTATAATTACTTTTTCCCCAATTCCTTTAAATTCTTCTGGACGAGACTGAAAATTCCCATGGAAATAGAACTTAATCTAAAGGACATTTCTTTGTAGTATTTTACTATATTTTGAGTCATGTCACTGACTTTTATGGCTCAACATTTATGGCAAAAAGCGAAATCCAAAATTTTAACTGAGTCCAGACACCCAAAACATCAACGTTCAGAGAGGGTAACTCATGGGGTTTTTGTGCCCTTGCTCTTTATTTATAAGAAGTAAGAAGCTGCAGACTTTGTACTCTAGTTTGTATTATTCAAGCCACCACAGACTACAGATGTTTTTTAAGCAGCAGTTAGAAAGACAGCATAGATTGAAATGCTTTTTTTTATTATTATTGCTTCTGATGCACACAAATCCTTTATGAAGAATTTTAGCAATTGTTCTATTACTGTATGTCCCCTCTCCCCTTCAGCTGAATTATATTGTTGTCATAGCAATCCTTCCTCTCTCTAAAATGTTTTATAATTAGTCTTGACTCCCAACTAGACAATGAATCAAGGTGTAACAATAGTTTCATTAACTCATGTGCTTGTATGCAGACGTATTGTTTGTCTTCCACCTACTTGCCTTGAGCTGTTGTCAGTCCAGTCCAGTGCTGTTAGTGATGACAGCAAAGATTCCTGTGAGGAATGCCCTCTCCATAGGCTGGTTTCTTGGATAGCGTCCATCTCCTTTGCAGAGTGATGAGCCTCTACCTTTTCTCTACTCTTTCCAAAGCAGGGGCAGGCAGCCACTGCTCTGGGCAGAGAACACCTCACTGGGACAGATGGGGATGTGTGGGGTTTAGTGGACATTAAGAATCACATCAACCATCAAGTCTTAAAGGGAAAATGGCAACAATGACATTTTCACTGTTTTAAGCCTTTGTCTGCATTACTCACCTGTGCTGATTTACTCTTTAACTATGCCCCACAATGCCAAGTAGATGTTGATCTTACTTGTCTTTTTGCCCCAACCATTATCATGATTGGCATGATTGATATTTTGCATCCTGAGGAGGAAAAATCTGAGTGCAAGAAAGTATTCAAAGGATATGCAGATCTGAACTTTTCTACCACTTTTAGAACAGTGTCTTTGGGGAATATTACACAGACAGAATAAACATCCTTTTTAACTTTTAATTTTCCTAGCAGAAAGATGTCAGCTTCCTTAGCAATCACAGAGTGAGTCAGGTTGAAAGGTCCCACAGTGGGTCATCTGGTCCAACCTCCCTGTTCAAGCAGAATCATCCTAGAGCACAGGTTCCTCTGCTTCCTTCTCCTCCTCTAGCCCTCCTCTTCCTCCTGCTCCTCCATCCCTTCTCCTCCTCTATATCTCTTCTTTCTCCCCTTGGAATCTCAGCTTCAGGGGTTCATAGCCTTCAAGCCCAGTCTCACTATATGAATGCAATTCACTCCCTGCACACTTATTTTTGAGGCTAGCTATAAGATACTTCAAAACTGGTTCTGAGTTCTCTATGAGCATTCTACAGTCATTTCATTCAGTCTGTTATTCCCCTGGCTTCATAGCTTATGGGAACCCTGGCATGCCATTCCTAAACTTGAGAAGGTGGCAGTGTCCAAAAGAAGACAGAGTTGTTTTAGTTTGGTTCAGTTCAGTTCAGTGCAGTTAACTTTATAATCCTCATGTGTACTCACATTGCAGTTTCACATACATCCTGTATGAGTTTCCTCTTGACAGGAACAATGGGCACTGAGGGTTGTTAAGCAGTAGACATACTGGAACTCAGGCAGAGCTGTGGGTAAGCTGTGGATAAATGATCTATAGGTTATGTCACATTCTTCTGCAGTGTTCTAAAAGGACAGTGAAAGGCCCAGATCACAGTGTCAATATTGGCCAAAATCCATCTGACATTCAATAAAAGCCATGTTCCAAAAATTCTGTGTTTGGCTTGAAAAAGATAAACCAACAACAGTCTATGAACAGTATTTCTGGATGAAAGACCTGACGGAAGTATAAATCACTAGAGCTGCTGCTGATGGTTCTAATTCAGGAATAGCAGTCTATTTTCTTGGAAGAAAGTTCATGGGAAAAACAAAGGTTGATATTTTAGGACACCAGCTGCCTTCAAGCTTAAGCAAGGCATGTGGGACAAATGTCTTATTTTTGTCCAGCCTGCTGGGATGACAAAACTCTAAACCCTTGGCCAACAAGGATTTGCTTCCAGGGAGGGATATGGAAGCAGTTCTGCTATGCTGTCACAACTCCCATGGACAAAAGATGTTATTCAGGAAAGTGGTGCCAGAAGCCAACAGAAAAACTCCTTTTTATACTTCTACTTTCAGTGTGTCTAGGGGAGAAAAGGAGTGGCTTTGCCAATAAAGGTATGAGAAAAACTGCTGTGTAGACCAGTTGTTATCCCAAGAGATGGGCATGGGGCACAGCACCTTTTCAAATTTATCCTTTCACATTTTCTTTTGGCTGTCATTATTTTATTTTACTACTTTACCCTGGATTTTGCCATAGTTCGGCAGTGTCTACACACAAATTAGTCTTTTCAGTCAGGAAAGCTCCAGCAAGCTTCTCCAGAGAAGGTTCTGCCCCTCTACAACTTTTGATTTTCTATCCACATGGTGAGTGGTACATTCAGCATCATTTACTCATCTACAAGTTGGTACCTATATTTGATCTAACAAGTGCTTTATCTATTCAGTGTCGTGTTGAAAAGGTCTACTGAGTCCTTTCCAGCCCCCTGAGACACAAATATTTAATATAAACCAGAATATGCATGACTGGGTTTGGGAACATTTTGTGACACTAGTGCTCATTATATATGGCCTATGCCAAAAAGTCCCTTATTTTAATATTTTGTCATAAATCATCATTTGCTGTTATGCATCTATTTTACTTCATGAATGTGTAATGAATGGTCTCTGGGTTAGACTGAATTTGACTTTTGTAGCTCATTAATATCAAAAGAAGTGAGGTAAAAGGAGAACAATACTTAAAAACAATTCCTCTGGCTCAGAAAAATATTGAAAAATATTTAGAGTTTTAAAAATTTTTTCCTAATTTAATAGATATTTCAGAATTGTGAAGCAATAATTTTCCATTCAAAATAGAATAAATAATATGGTATGCAAAATATATCTGTGTGTCAATTTGAATAAATATTATGTTATTTTCTAAATCATGTAAAAATACAGGTCTTACACAGCAAAGTATATTTACTTGTATGTTCCCTGGATGAATTCCAGTATTCTACGTAAACCATTTGTCATTACAAGAAGACAAGGTAAACCTTTGTTGGACTAGGCTTACCTGAAGAGCCAACCTTCTCCTTCCAGCCCTGTCTCCTAATTTAATTTTTGATTTTGAATTTTTTTTTTACCAGTTATGCTTGCTTTTTCTTTTTTTTTTTTACCTCAAGATCACTTACAGAATAAAGTGCCAGAATGGTTTTACAACTCAACTCTTGCTCCTGTTCCTCATCAATCTAGCATTGCAATACCTTGGTACACTGAGTGGTTGTGAGATTTTAGTGATCCAGTGAATTAAAAGAATATTTCTCTTCCTTTGAAGTGAGGTTTCCTGTTTCTTCTGTGGACCTTTCAATATCTTGTAGGATCACTATCATGGGAAAGTACAACAAGTAATCGCCTTTGCAGTGTGTCAGATACAGCCCATCAATATCTTGGCCTTTGTTAATCCTCCCAGACAGCTCCAAAGCTGTAGGAGTGAGATCAGAACTGACGCCTGGAAACACGACAGTCAATAGTTTCATATCCTTCCTTTGGTACCTGTAGAGAAGTTAACACATGTTCACATTAGAAAACACCCCTTCTGTGGTGTGAAATGTTCTTGCCTTCCAAAACACACCTCAAAATATCTGTTATCCCGTTTTTGTTTACAGGAAGCAACAAAGAATTATAAATTCCTCCGAAGAAAGGGCTACTTGCAAAGGTAGCGTAGAGAAAAGCACCACAGACTGAGTACCTTTGTACTTCAAACAGACCATGTTTTCCCAGCCGGAAGGAGAGCCCTCATCCCTAGTAGCCCCTTATCTATGAGTGCTTGTTTGGGCTGGGGTTGAGTTGATTTTCATCACAACAGCTGGTAGGGGAGGATGTTTAGAATTTGAGTTTGAAACAGTGCTGATAACACAGGGATGTTGTAGTTCCTGCTGAGCAGGGCTTTCACTGAGTGGAGGCCTTTTCTGCCTCAGCAAGCAGGCTGAGGATGCACAGGGAGTTGTACAGGGACACAGCCAGGACCTGACCCCAAGTGACCAAAGAGATATTCTGGAACATACGGCATCACCTTCAGCACATAAAACTGGGAAAAGAAGGAAGGTGGAGGGACATTTGGAGTGATGGCAACTGTATACCCAAGTAATACTTCCTGCTTTCCTGGGGATGGCTGAACACCTGTCTGCCCATGGGAAGCAGTGAATGAATTCCTCAGTTTGCTTTGCTTACTTGTATGACTTTTGTTTTACCTATTGAACTCTCTATCTCAACCCACAAGTACACTCACTTTTACTTTCACATTTTCTCCCTCATCCTGGCAGGTGGAAGTGAGCAAGCGGCTGTGTGGGACTTAATTATCAAGTGGAATTAAACCACCCCTCCATGGAACAATCTGCTGAAAGAAATGCTGCTGTTTTTGGAAACCAATGTGTCTGATTCAAAATGGAAATGCTGTACACTGCTTTTCAGGACTTTTTCTGCAAACTTACTAATCACTTGATAAAAGAAACTATATCACTGTTTTAAGGGGAGACAGATGATAAGAACACCATGATTTTGTTGCCATTTCACACATCCATTTGACATACTTTAAAACTACCATCTCCTGGACATCCAGAACACAGCCTGCAAGATCTGTGTGGACAATTATCAGCATTAGTGACTCTAATCCATGCAGCAATGCTTTGCCATGGGCACTCAAGAGTCAGTTGTAGGAAGCCAATGTCACTGGTTGTATTGCTAGAGGGCTGTGGGTTCACAGCCATCAGCTCTCCTGTACTTTTGGAGAACTCAGAAGCATTCTTGAGCCCCAGAAGAGGTTGTCAGCAGCAGCAGCAGAGGACAGCAGGAATGCCAAGATGCTGCTGAGTGCTCTTGAGCCCAGGACAGCTGAGCTCTCAAGCTGTGATTGCCTCTTGGACCCATCTACATACCTGTCCTCCCACAGAGTTCAGATATAGGCTTTCTTCTTATTTCCAGTAAAGGAAATGGCTGCAGGCAGAAATGTATTCATAAACAGAAGCTTCAGTCCTCAAGTCCCTCCTGAAGTGACTGTTCTTATGACTTCTGCCTGCAAGACCTCTGCTGTCTCTTCTCTCTTTCTCTTGCCTCAAAGAAAAGCTCAATGTTTTATACTTCTGAGTTAATGAGTCAGCCTGCCTGACCTGACTGTCAGGATGAATCAGCAGTTAGTTCTGCACCTCCATGCCATACTGACACTCTTTCTCAAGTGGATTTAGCATCATTTAATAACATTTTTTTTCTGTATTAATCCAGTGGAGATTCTCTCATATCTTAGAAGAGTGAGTTGATCATTAATGTTGTTTCACTTAAGGTGGGGCTCAGTCCAGCTTCAACCTAGGTACAAGATGGATTTTGGTTTTTGTAATATTCTCTTAACAGCTACTTGTTGATGGACAACTTTTTCTGTTCTTTTACACAAGTCCATAGAGAGGAATCCAGAGTGGAAGCCTACATTTAAAACAGACTCCTAATTTAAATTCTGCATACATTTATTGGCAAACAGATATAAAATTGAAACTTAAATACTAGCAACTCACATTGATGCATGCATTTACTATAATTCATTAAAACATTTCTATTAAATAAATATTAATATTGCTGTAGCACATGTGAACTGGTAAAAAAAAATCTATGAACCAGGTAATTCAGGAGTTATGGAATCCTAGATCTGAACCTGCAAATGTTTTGAGTGAGTTAAAAAGCTATAGATTCTTCTGCAACTGCAGGATAATATTTTCTGCATTTTTATTTCTTTAGTTACTTAAATTCAGTGGCTAATTTATTCATAGCTGAGAAAATTTTGGCTGCTGAAAAATGGGATAGCTTATTATCCTTCTTCCAATCCATAAATATAAATGAGGTGTAACAGGATGAGATCTAGTAGTTCTAAAATCATGACAGACATGATGATCAGAAACTATTAGTACAATTTGTTAACTGTGGACAATACTTCCTTTGTTTAATGAATCAATTAGTTTCAAAACTCATTTCAATAAATGAATGTTTTGCCTAAGTAACCAGCTATTTAAGGTGATTTAATTTAACTAAAATAAACAACTTTATAAAGCTAGGTTTGCACTTTTAATTGATTTGCAAATTCCATCCCATTGCACCTTGACAAGAAACACAAATACGAGCATTATCATAAGAGAGTAAATAGTAAATGTTTCTATCACCATTTTTCTAAATTACTTTCTAATCATAATCCAATTAAATGTATACCAGGCTATACCCTGACTAAATGCATATAATATATTCACCTCACTAAAAAAAGTACTTTATTTAGCAGACAAGCTGTATTTAGGTGAAAATCAACACCCTTCCATGGTTACTAATCAGTAGAGTTCAATATTCCTTTAGGAAGGTGACTAATAAGTAAAAATGCAAACCAAGATTAAAATTGATTATTTAAAACTAATTTTCCTGTTTGCTGGTTTAAATGATGATTAAAATTGGTACTCCACAGTAGTCAACTCCTGCTTTCTGTTAGAAACACAGCTTTAATTGTTTTCCTGTGGCAGAATACATCACAAATGAAGAAAAAATCACTTGTGATAATCTATCTGTGTGGTAATTTTGAACCACAAAGAACCTTTTTACTGTGCTGGGGAAATTTTCTGAAAGTTAGTGGGGAAGCATCCCTTAGGATTGGCACCAATCCAACATGGTATCATTATGCCATAGACTTGTTGTTAATTGTAACCCAGCTTTAAGATCATTTACATGTATGTAATTCTTTAATTACCTAGAGCTCTTTGTAACATTAATATAACACCCTGCAATATTATTCACATTTCTCTCATTACTATGGATGCTTACAAATACCACTGTGTATGGAAAGCTGCCAACTTCACTTGAGCCACTGAATTTTTCTGTCCATCATTCCATTTTCTTGGCATACCTTCACAAAATAGAGGCATTTTAAATGAGTAAATGATTGTAACCTGCATTATACTGCTTGAAAGAAAAACCTCTTTCATCTCAGTGGTCCCCTGATCACCTCTGTAAGAGAATCTCCTCAGCATCCCTTCTCCCCTTTCCTTTTGCTCTTGTGAAGTGAAAGGCTGCCAAAGTCTTGCCATTTAAGGACTGAAGTGAAACCTCTGAAGATTGCTCAAGACTGTATAGACCACCTATGTGCCACCTAATAACAATAACAGGGTTAACAGAATTCAAAATTGCTTTCACAGTTCTGACAAGAGTAAAAAAATATGGGATGAGTATCCCGTTTAAATTTCAGCTTCCTTCTTTACACTGCTCAATGGGAGCATGAAAATGCTTTATCAAGCAGGGATTCTTCATATGGGAGACATTTGCAAATGCATTACATAAAAGGGGGTAAGTCCAGCATGCTCCAAAGAGGGAAGATAAACCCCACTGCAAGACAATCAGTGCATCTCTGCTGCACATGGATGGAGGACACATTAAATGAAGAAGGTGCAGTACCCCATGCTTAGACCCACATTGCACCTGCCCCTTTGCCCTGCCTTCTCCTGTTGAAATGGTGGAGCTTGGGCACAGCAGAACTTTTTAATGTGGAAACTTTTACTTCTCTGTCCAAAACTCACTCAGGGGTCCACAGAGACCTTCTACTGCACTCAGATGTGCAGAATGAACTCCTACCTGCTACTACGCCATGGGCATTCTTCTTTTTCCCAGTAGCTAGCCAGCCTTGGAAAGAGACTTGCATCTTGGCTTTTCTGGAAAAGAACAGAGTAAAAGAGAATGCTTTAATGTTGGGGGAAAGGACAAAAGATCAAAGTACCACAGCAAATGATCAGGAGTTTTGTATCAACTGAGTGAAATCACTGAAGTAAGGTCAGAGTGCTTGTCATGAGCTCCCATTCCATCACAGCCACCTGTACCCAATCTGTAGCTAAACTATCCCTTCATCATATCAGTCCCTTTTCTGCATAGATGCACATCTCCTACTTTGTAGGAGACAGTTCCTCTTAAACAAGGACTCAGATGCAATACACTCAAGAAAAAAGAGGAAATTACACCCTGGATAATGGCTGCTTAAAATTTTCAAGGAAAATTATTAACTTTTAAGAAACCTTGCCCTCTAGGCCATACACAACTGCACTTCAAAGACAAATAACCAAGAGTCTGCTCCACAACTTGCATCTGAATGCAAGGAAACCAACTAGCATGTGATCCCTACAGCTCTGTGTTGGTGATATTTAATTTTTAGAGTTACAGAAAGAGGCATTTTTGTACACATATACTTATAGCCCAGTCTGGGTCATAAATTAAAAGGCAGCCCCAAGTGTCCTTTGCAATGCTATTCAGATGGGTCTAATAAAAACAGTAATGGCTTTTGCAATGATCTGTCTTGGTGTACAAGAAACAGAAACGCTACTGAATGTCCTGTATGTGTCATACCATATCTAGTTAAAAATTGCAAGTAGGAGCTATTCTATGCAAGCTAGCTCATCCCCAGAAAATTCTGCATTTTCCTCGTCTCTTCTACCTTCATATCATCAGTCTAATGTGTAACAGAGCTCTTAAAAAACCTGGAATATTCTTACTATAGGAAATTCTAGTATTTTGATACTTGATTTGTGTATAAATACATAAGGAGGGGGGCAAGAACAAGTTAAAAAGAGGGGGGGATTGGTGCCTAGTAAGAGGACAAGAGGCAATTGGCACAAACTTACAGACAGGAAATTCAATGAAGAGAGTTTACTGAGAGTGATCTGGCTGACTGGCACGGGTTTCCCAGACAAATCGTGGAGTTTCCACCCTTAGATATTTGTTATTGTTGATATGTTGTTGAATACAACACCCAACTGAATGTTACCTTGAGCAACCTGTTCTAGCCTGGACTCTGCTTCTGATCAGAGACCTCAAAGGGTCTCTCCCAGGTTCACCTACTCCACGATTTCAAAGTCTCAGCAGGTTTTTAGGCAACAGAGCAAAATATTCCACTGCAAGGTTTGAAGTGGAAGTAATCGCGTTAGTATTCTTGCATGGAAGCAGTCTGGTTTGCTGGATCTAACTGACAAATTTGTTTTCAAATCTTTTTGGTATTAAATTACAATTACCCCTTTACTTGTCATTATCTTGGGGTAAAGCATTGATGTTTTTAGCTTCCTTTACCAATCCATCCTTTATTTTTGTATCACGTGTCTTGTTAACATATGGCCCAGCTAAACTATGGGTGAAAGACATAAGGAATTGAGTACTCCCACTGTAATTTTAGGAGTTTGAAAAAAATCTTCTGTAACTCAAGAGTAAGTATTTTTGTTTTGTTCAAGAAACCAAAATATTTTAAATTCATCATGAAAATAATGATGTCAATTTTCCTGATAGAAGAAAATTTAATATCTGGAAGCATCATTCTATACCCTGTAGACTATACTTCCCTCAGAAAAAATCACTGCATAGATACAAGCTGCTAATAAGATCTGGGATAGCAAAGTGCAACGGGAGACTGTCAAAATAATTTCTGGAATCCTATTGCCTACTATGTCATGGGAAAGGGGTCACTTTAAATTTGGTAACTCCTACAGAGGTCTATGAAGAAAAATATTAGGGGTGGGGGTGTCAATATCCCAATCCCACTGTGACCTGAAAGAGTGTGGTTATGTCATATGTGACAGAAATTTGGTGCTAATAATAAGCTAGATCATCTATCCCATCCAGCAGTTCATATGCAAAATATTTGTTCCTGTCTGCACCGACATAAAATCTAAGAGTCAGTGGAGAATACACACATTCACATCCCGGTGAAAAATGGCAATTCCAACAGCTCCACAGCCAGATAAATTGTCACAGTCCCATTCCCTGCTCTGACACTTTGCAGGGTGGCACTATCCCTTCCGCTGCAGCAGTACAAGGAGGCCACCCCAGTCAAAAGCAACCCAGCAAAACAAAGAGAAGATCATTTTTCAAGCTGCTCCATTCCCTGAACAGCAACTGCACATTCACAAGGAAGTCAGCAGGACCACACAGCCAGGGAGCACAAAGAGCACTGACAGCCTCAAATAGATCAGCCTAGGCGGCCGCTGAGCAGGTCTCTCTCTCACAAAACTCTGCGTGTGTTTGTGGAAGGGAGACCTTTATCTTTTCAAAGCAAAGAGCTGCTAATTAGCTGGGCAAGTAGTGGCACTTGGACTAAGTGAGAGAACTGGCACCTCTCAGGAAAGGATATTTAGTTCTGTTAAGAGAGAAATAGTGGAGAGGAAGAATAAATCTGTATGTACCTCCTGGAGGACTTCAGATGGACTAAAAGAGCTAGCATCCACAAGGGGTTTTCTCCACAGCATACAACCCCTGGTGTTAAATAGACACAAGTCCAGGATTCCTAATGAGGTGCACATGAGACAAAGGTGCAGCAGGTTAGTTGAGCTGAGGGACAGACCCTCATGATTACATCTTTGGGAAGGCAAATGACAAACAGATCCCCTTCTGTATTTTAAAATATTGCTGCTTACCTTGGATATGCACAGCCACGGCATTTTCCTTTTACTTCGCCTGAGTCAGTCATGATCTCAGGGCTCCAGCACAGCAAGGTATTTCTCACCCAAAGGCATGGCCAAGCTCCAAGCTGTAACACAAAACACCCACATGAGCATCCCTGCTTCCATCCTCTTCCCTGAAGAGAGCAAAGGGCAGCAGAGCAGCTGCTGCTGCAGTCCTGATGGCAGAGTGTGTGTCTTTGAGTATTTTTCACATCCTTAATGCACTGTATCTTTTTCAAGTAGTATAATCCCTTATCTTCTGTGTTCATAAGCATATACAATTTTTTCGGAAATGGAATAAAAATCTCAAAGTACCTCAGAGAGACAAAAAATACTTAGCAATTGATCTTCTGTGACATTTATGTACACAACTAAAGATCAGCCACCATATATCAAACATAATATACATTGTAGATATATTTCATTTCCCTGCTATTCTTGAGGAATGAAAGTATTTCTGAGGACAGGTGTGAGAAATGAAAAGTGCTTGGAATGTGTAGGGAAAGATGGTTCTGAATAACATTAAATTTTAATAACTTGTGAGTTTTGTCATCAGCAGAGCAGCAGTAGATGTGAGAAAGTAGGAGTAAGAACCACAAGGAAATATTTTTGCACATATCACTATTTACTTTAATTTTTTCTCCTACCAATCTTTTTGAAGGATACTGCTGACTCCAAGTCTTCTTCTGTTGTGAGTCACATTATGTTGATCACCTGCAGCATCCAGGAAATCTCTAGGCAAGTGGCATATGCAGTCTGGGAATAAGATCTGTTTGAAGGGAAAAGCCAGCTCTCTTTTTTCTCTAGCAAAGCAAGCAGAAGTAGGGATGATTTCTCCATGGCAGAGCTACCTAATTCAAAAAACTCATTTCTTTTTTCACTGCTTAATAATAAAGAAATACAGTTCTGGTCTACTTCCTAGTAGAAATTCAAACAAAAATAGGTTTAGTTATTGATTGTTCTTGTATAACCAGCTGCTACAATTATCTTTTCTCATCCTGTTAATCTAAAGAGAAAAACAGGCAACTGCCAATTATACACTACTGATACAGGAAATTTACACAACATGGGATGAGATGTTCAGTTCCCACAGCTGGCCTTCACTTGACCAGTTGTGTGCTGAAGATCAGAGCAAGCTGGCAATTGTTTAAACACATCTTCTTGCTCAGCTGGTCAATTATTCACAGGAACAGCAAAGCAGGAAAATGGTTTCTGTTAGTGTGAAATGTGCATACACATCTATCAATGACTTGCAGCGAGACCTGTGGCTATTTCTTCCCTCCCTGTGCCCCTGGTTTTCCTTCCGCTCCTCACTCTTTTCTAGGCCAGGTTCACATGGTCTGAGTTGCCTCCTGTTGCTGTCTGATGTGCAGCATGAGACCCTTCACCTCACTTGAGTCCTCAAGGTTTTGCTCTTCACAGTTAAGGAATTTCCCCCCTGTTGTAAACTACGATATCTTCCTTCCCTTGCAAGAAAGATGATAAGATGGAGATCCAGTGTGGAAACCCAGGGCACCTGGAATATTTCTTTGTCTGCTCTGGGATGTCCTGACCCCCAGGGGAGCACTGACTTTGACCCTCATTCATGAAGAAAGTTTCCTAGACTTCAAGATAGACTAGAATCCACCAAAGTGTGAAATAGATTATAGAGAGTAGTGTAGGTGTATCACTTAGGTGAGAAATTTAGGTTTTGGGATTTTTAGTATGTTGTGGATGGAAACAAGATGGAGGGCGCAGGGTGTTGTCCTGGGTTTCTTCCTCCTGCTTCTTCTTGACAGGTTTGGGTGGCACTCTGTAATTGGGCAGAAAAATGTACACTGCGAGCTCTGTGGGATCAGTTACTTGGTTAAAAGGGCAAATAATCCAGGTGTCAGTTCTTAATTGGATAATTTAGTCTTAAAAGATCTTGTAACAAGAGACTGTTAACCATTTTGTTCCCTGCTGCCAAACTCACAGTTGTGAGACTGTTTTACTGATAAGAAATAAATAAACACCTGAGTCCAAACATGAAATACTGTCTCAAGGGCCTTCAATCCAGACCCAGAGAAAATGGGTAATCCAGGTAGGTTAAACAGTCCCCACCCTGCCATGGCCCCTCTGCACAGCTTGGGGCAGCCCACCAAATGTTTGGCCCAAGGTAGCAGGAGATGAGCATCTCAGCATCTTTATGTACTCAGGATTTCTCAAAAATCAGAGCAGGAACCGTAGTTTATCTTTCAGCTAATGGCCCACCTAACTCCTTTTTAAAAAACAGACATTGTAGGCTGCTTAACACAGCTTTTTTAAGTTCATTAGTGTTACAGTGTTCAGCTTCTGCAGCGTTGACAACCAGAGACAAAAAGGCCTGTACAATTTTTTGAACACCTGTTTTGACACAAAAAAATCCCTATTAATTCACAATAATAATTTATTGCAGTCTCACACCTCAGCAGGAAGTCCTTTCATATTGATAAGACTGAAATCTCACTCATGTTTGTTTGAAGGTTTGAAGGTTTTGCAAAGCTCTTTACCTTTTATATTTATTATTTAGGGAATACTGTAAACACAAAAAATTCTTTATGAAATACAGTAGAACACAAGGTCTCTGGCATCAGAAGTCCTGTGATCTACTTCAAATACAGTACATGTAACATCAGTTTAGATGCAACTGTGTGCAAAGGTGTCAGTTATGTAGGAAACACAATGTACAGGTTTTCATTAAAAGAAAAAAAAGACCTAAACTCTCAGAAGACCTCCACTGACCTTCTTTCCTTTGAAATCACACAATGATACATAATTCACAGGTCTGTTTTTACACTAAAGCATTACTGAAGGCTGGCAGTGTAGTACTTTTGTGGCAACATTGCACTAGGAGGGCAAAAGTTGAGCCTATGGAAAAGAAGAGAAATCTGTACTGAGGAAACAGATCTCATAATTAAGTGTACTGTCATTACAGAAACAAATAAAGAAAACTCCTTATCCTACATGCATACCAGACTTTTCTAGAGCAAAAAAAAAAAAAAAAAAATTCCTGGAGGTTTAATTGCATTCATTGACTTGAAAAAGTGATTTCATAATAGTAATGTGAAAAGCAATATTCTGACTCCACTCTTCCACAAAGCTCTTTTCTTCTGTACTGTCTCCAGACCTATCATAGTTGCTGTGCCTGATAGCTCCTCTTGCCAGAGGTTAGGATTTGAGGGTGTGCATGTGCTGCCTCTGTCCTTCAGACTTTTTTTATATCACACCATGGTTAATGCTGACTATTAATTGTGAATGTGCATAACACATTTAAGCCCTAAGGATTATATGTAGGTATTACAAGATGATATATAATATTTATTATGTTGTGATATGTTATATATATTTCATAATATATTTTATACAGTATCATCACAACCAATGGTAAAACTGTCAAGCTGTCACATCCTGCAGAACACAGCACAAAAAAAGGAAAAGTTGGGACAGAGAAAATCTCCTGATGAGCTGCTTCTGAATGAGAAAAAATACAGTATTGAGTGGCCTGACATTCACAAAATTCATGCAATTCACAGAATTAACAGAATGACTGGGTTGGAAGAGACCTTAAAGATCATCAAGTCCAACCCATGCCCTAACACCTCAACTAAACCATGGTGATGAGTACCACATCCATTCTTTTCTTAAACACATCCAGGGATGGTGACTCCACCAACTTCCTGGGCAGACCATAATGATGATCATTACATGAGCATCAATATTAAATTAAAAACTTGGTAAGTTGAAATCTCTTCCCAAGACAAAAATAACTATGGCAAATTACTTTTGCCAATTTATCATTATTTACTGTTAAGTGGAAAAACCAGACATCAGAATCCCAATTGCTTCACCTCTCTGATATATTCTTGAGAACCCTTTTTGTTTGCATTTAGATAAAAATGAGATGTTTTGGGGCCAAGTCAGCATTGTGCTCACTCTTTAGGAGCAGATTTTCCTGGATCTCATATGAAGTAGCAGGTTATTAGGAATTAAGTTGCTGTGAGCTCCAAAGGTCACAAATATTTCAGTACTTCATTCAACATAATGATGGGCACTGATACAGACAAATGTATTTTAAACAGAAAAAATACCCAAAACTCAACCCAAACCTCTCCACATTTCCCTGCCTCAGAAACAATAATTTTCAGTTTGTGTTCAGTAGTGATGCATCTTCAGTGCTTTTGCATTAGGAATACTGTTTATTTACTTGCATGGACACCCATGACCAGCTTCTCATTAGAGCAGCAGAGGTGCAGTGTAATTCTATTAAAGTAATTCAAGTAAGTATAGCTTCACACTGCTGTAATGTCCACCATACTAATAAAATAAAAATCTACTGGTCTGTAGATTTTTATGTGTACTTTAAAGTTTAATAGGCACAAACATATATATATTGAAGAAACCTAAACCGTAAAACTAAATACTGTAGAAAGAGTAAGTTTTATCTTATATCTACAAACTATTTTACTGATCACTAGTGCTCAATTACATGAATGTACAAAGATTTAATTTTGGTTTTGCACAGCAGTAGGAAGTTTATGTGTAAATGAGCTTTGCAAAGCAGTAGAATATGACAGAAAATCTGTCAATTAAGCTATTTCAATGTAACCTGAAGACTGTGATCCAAACGAAGCTAATGTATCTTTACATCTTATAGCTGGACTTCTGACCCTTTTGTGACAATAATTAGTCTGAACTGAACCACACTGAAAGCAAGGAAGGGAAGGACATCTGGGTATAATTTTGTATTAGTCTTACTGAAATAATCTGTGTAAGTATAATATTCTTTTCTATATCTGTTCATCTTTTTTTAAAAGATGGACTGTCCAAAAAGTAGTAAGCTTTGGGGTAGCTACATTGTACCCAATATTTTGAAGAAGATTCTGTAAAACATTATTTTTCTTGGCAGAGATCCAAGGAGACAGTGAATGTTATTCTTGGCTGTCTGGCATGGAAACAATCCTAATTTGAATTTTTCATATATCTGCTGTTACATATGTACCCCTTTGCTTTGCTCTTTTAGAGCCATCTACACAGAAAGACAAACTATCCGTTTACCTGGAACCAGCTGTCTGACCAAGACAACACTAAGGCACCAGAGCTTTATGATAAAATTTGGATGAAGAAAAACCTAATTCTCAAATACTATGTCAGATGCCCACCCCAGGAGTTGGGACCCATCCTAAGAGAGATCAGAGATTACTCTTCTGATCTTGTATTACATTAAAAGAGTAATAATTTACTCCTGATATGTATTTTTTGCCTCCCTGCTGAATTGTTATAATCAGTTTCTCACTCTCTAATCCTTCATTTTTTAATAACTTCTTGTGGGAAACTCTGTCTTGTCTTAATGCCATCTTTTTCATCAGCACAATTAAGATTAAGTTGTTAGATTTAATCACATATTACTCACATTACACAGATTTGGATACCATTTACAAGGATTCCTATCAAATCTAAAAACCTTACCAAAATCAATAGGGTTGTGATTTTTTATATTGATAAAAATTAAGGACACAGGCAGTATTGACTTCACACGGAACAGCAATAGGCACCAATTGGCATTAACCTTCCTGATGCCTTGAGCTTCTGACCTTGTGCATTTGACTTGTGCATTTTGCTGTTTGTACTGTGATTAATGAGGTTTCTAAATAGCAGGAGACTATGCAAAGGTGATGAATTTTGAGAATTTCAGACTTCAGAAAAATCTTTGAAATTTGACTGACTGCTTGTCCTTCTGGGAGAAAAAAGTTAATAACCAGAAACAGTCAGGTTAAGACATGACTTATACAACCTCCTTGAGCTT